GCCTCCCGCTGCGCCCTCAGCCCAGCATCTGTTCCGCCATGGGCCCCACTGCCGCCCCCACCGCCCCCCTCAGGCCCTCGCCCCTGTCCAGGGGTTAATTAGTCCTGAGGAAAGTGCTGTTGTTAAACATTCAAGTACCGCTTTTCTCAGCAGACACACTAGTTTGCTGGGAAGCTGTGAAAAGTGACACTTGTATGTAGGTTAATATCCCTTATCCTTTTTCACAGCCTCCCAGGTGGCTATCAGGTGTCTGGTGAAAAGTGATTATTAAACAAATATAAATATCACTGATCACAGTATAGTCCTGAGGAAAGTGCTGTTGTTAAACATTCAAGTACCGCTTTTCTCAGCAGACACACTAGTTTGCTGGGAAGCTGTGAAAAGTGACACTTGTATGTAGGTTAATATCCCTTATCCTTTTTCACAGCCTCCCAGGTGGCTATCAGGTGTCTGGTGAAAAGTGATTATTAAACAAATATAAATATCACTGATCACAGTACTTGTTTATTATTACGTCTGCGAAATAACCCTACATACATACATTGCAATGATCTGGATGTGCAAATGTGTGTATATTAATTTGTTTTTTCTTAAATTCAGAAGTGAACTTAAGCTTAAGCTCTGGCAACAGCTGGCTGAGCTGCAGCAAAAGCCAGCAAGGAGCTATTCAAAGAGCTGGCAGGGACCCAGGTTTCCATAGACAGTACCTGTAATACATTTTAAATTACTTAAATCCCTGTTTACATTAATTTCTTATTTTATGAAAGATGTTAGCATGACCACCAGCAAGAGTTAATGGCCACAATCTGAGGCCACCAAAATGCTTGTTGTGAGAATCACTAGCCTTGACTATCTTTTAGGAAGAATTCTTGCTATGATGGAAGTGTTACAGAGGTACCTGAATGTTATTGGAGGCAGAATACAACTCTCCTCTTCAGTATCGGGTGGCCTCAGTATGGACACTAAATGCAGGCCTTGGGAGCTCTGTGTTGTAGCCTTACTCATTTTCTTATCTGTGTATCTCAGGCAGGTAGCAGCCTCCTGTCAGGCTACATGCTAACTTGATCTCAGTGACCTAATTGTGGCACATTCGGAGGGGAAAAAAACAACAAATGGTCTGGTAGCACTTTATAGACCAACAAAACATGTAGCTGGTATCATGAGTTTTTGTGGGGACATCCTACTTCTTCTGATGATGGGAGTTATGAGTTGGGGATATGAAAAATCGAAATAAATAGGAGAGGGGAGGGGGAGAAAAAGAAAAAAGGAAGGGGGGATGTGAGACAGAGCATCATTAAGTATCTGGAGAATGGGTACTTAAACCTAAGCAGATAAAAATCAAAGTCAATAGATAAGATTGCTAAGACAGAAAGGATACCACTCAGAGAGCTGTTAGCACCTTCAATGGATACTAAGTAGGTAGTGTCCTAGCCAGCCCATATCACTATTGGGTCCATTAGCATGTGAACTGAATTTGTGGATGAACTGTGATTCCAGTTCTTCCCTATGTATCTGGCTTATGGAGCTGGCCTGTGACAAGACAGCCACTTGCAGGTCTGTAAAACTGTGGTTAGGCAAACAGAAATATTCACTAATAGGCTTCTGTATGTTCCCTTTACGTATATCTGATATGTGTCCATTGATTCTTTCCTGCAGAGACCGTCCTGTTTGTCCAGTATATATTGCAGTGGGGCACTGCTGGCATTTGATGGCATAGATTAAATTACTAGATGTGCAGTCAAATGACCCTTTGATTTTGTGGCTTATGTTGTTTGCTCCAGTTATGAATTCGTCAGTGTAGATATGTGGGCAGAGTTGGCATCTTTTTTGGTCGCAGGGCTGGGTTCCTGGAGGCTTATGATGTGGTTGTGTGGCATAGTTATCAGAAAGAATACGTTTCAGGTTAGGGGTTTGTCTGTAAGCAAGAATAGGTTTTTCTCCTAAGGCCTCTGAGAGTGAGGGATCATTTTCCAAGATGGGTTGTAAATTGTGTGTAATGTGTTGGAGGGGTCTGAGTTGTGACCTGTAGGTAACAAGAAGAATTCTGTTATTTTCTCTTTTGGGCCTGTCTTGAAGTAGTTCATGTCTGGGTATTTTTTTGTCTCTGTCAGTTTGTTTTTTCACTTCCCCAGTATTTCAGTTTTAGGAATGCTCTGTAAAGATCCTGTAGGTGATTGTCTCTGTCGGTGGGGTCGGAGAAAATCCAGTTGTATCGTAGGGCTTGGCTGTATACGATCGACTGAAAAATGTGTCTGGGATGGAAGCTGGAAGCATGAAGGTAAGTGTAGCATTCGGTGGATTTATGATATAGGGTGGTAGAAATTTGTCCATTATTTAATTGTACTGTAGTGTCCAGGAAGTGGATTTCCCTTGTGGACTGGCCCAGGCTGAGGTTGATAGTAGGGTAGAAGTTGTTGAAATCCTTGTGGAATTATTTAAGAGTGTCTTTTCCGTGGGTCCATATGATGAAGATGTCATCGATGTAGTGTACGTAAAGTAGGGATATTAGGGGGCAAGAGCTGAGGAAACGTTCAAGGTCAGCCATAAAGATGTTGGCATATTGTGGTGCCATGCGAGTGCCTGTGGCTGTGCTGCTAATTTGGAGATAGAAATTGTTTCTG